CTTTCCACATCTGTACAGAGATTTTTAGCAATATTGTGATTTGAGAAATATATCTGATTTCTAGCAATATATGTGATTTAATATATGGACATTATGTGTTATTATTGTTTTATTTTTTTATTTATTGTGAAAAGACTGTACAGAGGGGTTACAATTACATGGGCAAGATAATGAGTACATTTCTTATCAAGCATTATAGCCTCCTCCTTTGTTTCCCCTTCCCATCCCTTCTGATCCTCTTTTAAGATGATTTACATTCCAAGCAATAATTTGTGATATAACCCTAATAAGTAAGACAATAATGAAAGATTTCCACAAGTTGAAATCATAATTTGAAAAAAATAAAGAATTGAAATGTTTCCTGGTAAGAACATCATCAACAACAAAAACAAAATAACATAGAAAAAAGAGAAATAGAAAAGAGAAGGCACAGAAATAAATCCATACAGCTACTGCCATCTGATTTTTGGCCAAGACACCAAAAATATATTTGGAGAAAAGACAGACTCTTCAACAAATGGTACTGGGAAAATCGAATATTGGCACATAAAAGACTGAAACTAAACAACTATTTGTACCCTGCACAAAAAACAATTCAAGATAGATAATACATCTTAAGACCTGAAATTCTGAAACCACTACAAGCAAATATAAGGGAAAGATTAGAAAACATGGAGATAGGCACCTCTTTTCTGCATAGGACTCCAACTGCCCAGGATATAAGAATAAAAACTTAAAATGGTATTAAATCAAATTAAAAAGCTTCATCATATCAAAGGAAATCTTTATTCAATAGATAAAAGATTAATATCCAGAACATATAATGATCCCATAAAAATCAAACACCAAAAGAAAAAATAATCTAGTTAATAAATGGGTAAAGGATTTGGACAGTTCTCAGAAGAAGTGCAAATGGCTAATAAATACATGATGATATATTCAATATCCTGTCCAAAAAGAAAATACAAACAAAACCACACTGACATTCCATTAAACCCTGGTCAGAACAGTAATCATCAAGTAAATCAACAACAAATGCTGGCAAGGATGGGGATAAAGCTCAAAGACTGTTGCTGGGAATATAAACTAGTGCGACCACTATGAATATCTGTATGGAGTTTATGGAGACTCATCAGAAAAACAATAGACGTACCTTATGATCCTTGTAAAGTGGTACCCAGCTATCCCACTCTTAAAGGTATATATCCAGAAGAGTGTAAATCAACATATAAAAGGACATCTGTACACCAATATATATCACAGCACTATTCACGACAGCTGTGCAATCAGCCTAGATGCCCAAGAACTGATGGGTGGATAAAAAAAATGTAGTTCATATACACAGTTGAGTATTATTCAGCCATAAAGAAGAACAAAATTATGTTGCTTGCAGAAAAATGGATGGAATTATGGATCACCACGTATAGCAAGATAAGCCAAGCTCAGAAAGCCAAATATTGAATGTTTTCACTCATATGCAGAGTCTAGACCTAAGATGGTGATGATGATTATAATAATGGTAATAGGATATGAATGTAAAAGTGGAGCTGTTTAGGACTTCAATAAGGGAAGATAGCAAAGGAGAATGTAACTGAAGGGTGAAAAGGAGTAGCGCACGCGTGCGCGCGTGCGTGCGCGTGTGCGCGTGCGTGCGTGTGTGCGTGTGCGTGTGTGTGTGTGTGTGTGTATGAAATGTCAAATAGAGCAATTCAACATTTCAGCATTACTGAGTGCTAGAAGTACCAGAAAGTCTAACATCCTTGTCTGTGTTATTACTTGCTGATAGGAATTTATATGAAATATTCTTAAATGAAAAAGAAAAGTCAACTTAGCACATATTTACAATTATATTAAAACATACTATATAGAGCAAAATAAGATATAAAGTGATATATTCTATTTTTCTGTCTCTCTCTAATAAAAATTTTCTTGAAAGTTTGAGCACTTCTATGACTATCATATATTTTCTTACTATGTATATAAGTCCTCTTCTCCATTTTTGCTATTAATGAAATGACCTTATTCCCTATAGTTATGGATTGAAAAGTTCATGTGTTAGAGCCTTCACTCTCAATGTGACTGTATTTGAAAACAGAGCCTTTAATTAAGGAGACAATTAAGGTCAAAATAGGTCATAGGATGAGGTTCTACCCAACTGCTGTCTTTATAAGAAGAAGAAACTTTAGGGTTGCCTATATACAGAGAAGCCCAAGTAAAAACAAATCACCAAAGATTTTAGGAAAAACCAACCTCACTAACATCTGAATTGTAATCTTGATCTTCCAGACTCTACAACTATAAGAAAATAATTTTTTTATTAAAACTGCCTGTGGGAATTTGTATGGCAGACCTAACAGATTAATACAACCCAAATACATTTGCTTTAAATGAATTAATTACCATATTGAATAGCTTTAAGGAATTATATGCAAATAACCTGGCTCATTACCTACATCATTTTAAACTTATTTATTAACAAACAATAAGCAACATAAATATTACAAATAACAAAACATTGTATCAACTGAAGGACAGTTAATATTTTTAAAGTTTTAGCAAGGGTTTATTTTTAATTTAAGTTAATGCAAGGAGAAATAGAAGAGAAACTGTTTCTGCTCCTTGTGCAGGAAATAGGAGTTAAAAGATTTCAGCAGGACAGTTAAGATACAACAGTTTAGGTGGCAAAATGCTAGCAGGATAGATGTTTTGTATGCGGAAATGTAGCAATTCTTGGAAGAAATGACAATAAAAGAAGTATCTTTCGGAAATGGCACTGTGGCTCAAGTGGTAGAGCACTAGCCTTGAGCTGATGAGCTGAGGGACAGCGCCCAGGCCCAGAGTTCAGGCCCCACGACCCCCCAAAAAAAGATGTATCTCTCTATCTTTATATAGACATCATTCTTATAATAATTATTACAAAAAGGAAATAGAAGGTCCAATTAAGAGATCTAAATTTTTATAATACAAGACTTCACAACTGTTTATTATATGTGTAGTTTTTTTAATGAATTGACAGTATTTCATTTGTATTTTATCTGATTTCATTACAGATTCCCTGGGAGCAAATAAAGATGTGCTTATAAAATAATATGCTCTATTACTAGCATCTAGCACAATGTCTCATAAACTTAATAGTTGTTCAGCTGATATATAAGGCCTTTTTCAATAAAATGTTTTGACTTAGAGACTGTTCCAAAACCTAACACTGTGGAGAAAGGTTTTCCTTATCACTATTACATTACGAAAAAGTATGTAAGTTGTTATGGGTAATGAGAACTGCATAAGATATATTTAATTTCCTTTCATATGTACATACATATATAAAGCTTTCATTCTATCTGTATCTATTAACAAAGAAGGAATAATTTAGGAATGATATTGCCTTTAATAATATTCTGCTTAAATACATACGTATTAGTTTCATAGGGTTTATAAACCACTTACATTTATAGTTTTATAGTTCCTTTTAACTTAAACATAGCTGGCAAGTGGTAGATTATCTGACATGTTACTGATTTGATATGTTAAAAATTTTTAAGTTTTTTTGACCCTTGGTCTATATTATATCAGATAAAATAATATATATCCTAAAATGAGAGAGCTGAATACAAAATAATAAAAGGAACTTCCAGGGAATCAATAATGAAATTGGGAATGCAAGGACCTACATCTTCAATGAAATTAAACTGATGTGCATCTATTAACATTCCATTAAATTAACATTTAATCCCCCATTAACATTTAATGAGATGTTAATAGAAGCACATCAAGACAGATTTCCTTTTTCCCTTTTGATAATTATCTATGTCCAAGAAGAAAAATATATATATATACATACATATATATACTTAATATATTATTAGTGCTCATAATCAAAGGAACAACTTGTGAAGACTGTGTAGAAGAAATACCAAATTGAGGCATACAGTAATTATAAAATTAATTTTGCACTAAAATGTTACTTTACGGTATTCTTCAACTTTATTTTAAATAAACTTAATTAGACTTTCATAACAAAATTCTTCAGGAACTCCCACAAGAAAAAAAGTTTATCAGATAAGCAGAAAAGCTCAAAAGCTATGTACATATGACCATGTAAGATGATGCTAAGTGAAATGAACTCCAAGATATGGACACAAGAGGTTTTTCTTGTTGTTGTTTTTAATGTACTACGTAATTTTTTTCTTTTTTCTATGTTTTTCCTCCTATGGTAAATCCCTGTTGTCACTGTATTTGATTTTGGTACCTTGCATCTTGCATATAAATTTTTCTAACTTGGGGAGGAGGAGGGGAATAACAAAATGCTGAAACAAGGACACAGGATGACCCATTGCAACAATGAGACTCACAAGACACAATGTTGGAAATGAACTTTACAACTTCAGGGGGTAGGAGGGAGGAGGAGAAATGGGGGAGGGTGGGGGAGAGAAGAGATAGTAGGAGAAAAACAAAGGAGTGGGTAACAATGCTGGACAAGAAATGTATTCATTACCTTACGCATGTTACGGTAACCCCTCTGCACAGCATCTTTATAATAAAGTAAAATTTTTTTAAAGAAAAAAAGAAGTTTTAATCTTTGTTGATAAGGTCAATCTCCAAATTACTGGTTTTCTTAATGACAAGAGTGCCTCAGAAAAGTGATTTCAATTGACCTCTAAGCCATAACTGTATAGTTCCATCAAAAAATAGCCAACTATATCAAAGCAATCACATGATACAAACTATGGGGTTTTTTTTTAGCATTAGCAATGTTACCATCAATATAAAGGATACTTTTAAATTTGAACATGTACTAAGTTTTTTAAAATGTGATGATTCTGTTGTCTAAAGTGTATCAAATATGTTTCCATTTTGTTATGCTAAATAATTTATTTTATAATAAAATGAATAAAATTACTGAGAAAGCTAAAATTTTAAGAGTATATGAGATATTGTCATCACCCCTACACACACACACACGCACACTCTCTCTCTCTCTCTGTTTACTCAACATAATGTACCTTCTTCTACTGGCTCATTGGTTGATTCTCCTTTTAGACTGAGCATTCTGAAGAAGCCATTGGAAAGAGTAGAGAAAATCCCACGGATGAAATATCTCTGTTGTTCAGATTCCACTGTTCCCACTGAAGATGCCAATGATCTAATAAACCTATTACTGCTACAAGGTTCTGGTTCTGAAATAGATCTGTTGAATGGGGCTCGAAGTGAAGGGGAGTTGAACAAGTTCAGCTTCTCTGATGATATTCCAGGGACCTCATTAGTAGAAGCACTATTACTGTCCATCTCTGGCAGAAACTTTTGCTGTAGTTCATCTAGGTCTCCTTTATTATTTTGCAATCTCTCTTCTTTGCTCCTTTTCTTCCTAAAGCCAGGGTATTTTTGCCATCTGTAAGCACCCAGTGGCTTTTCTAGATTGGAAACAGCATATTCACTTTTTTTCTTCTTGCTTTTCACTGCACCACACCATGGATAAGTATTTAAATTTGTTTCTATCTTTGAATTTGCATAAGCAGGTTCTGACAAAGATCTTCCAAAACTTGGAGGATGAGAAGATGTTTGTTTCTTAAAGATGTTTATCTTCCACGACTCCATTTTTTAACAACTTCTCTAAATATAAGCTTCCTCTACTCTGCAGTCTTTGCAGTTGAACCACACTTGTCTGTGCAGTCCAAAACATTTAACTGCTTAAGCAGCTTTCTTTGTGTGGCTTTGAACCACAGCAGATGTTGCTGCTTAAGAGCTGGTGTCATATTATTACCCTATTTTCCCAGATCTCTGAAATGTCAGCATCACCTAAAATCCTCTTGCTTGAAGTAAATTATCTTCGAGTACAAAGTAAAGTTTTCCAAAAGATCTTCACTCTTCTTGTAGCAGGTATCATTTCCTTTTCCGGACTAAGTTTTTAGGAAACTTTTTTTTTTTTTAATGCAAAGTGAAAAAGAAAAAAAAAACCACAGACACCTTTATGGACCAATAGTAATTAAATGTTCACCATGTAAATGAGAATGGATTAAAAATAGATTGTGAAAGTACTTAAGCTGATGGCCTCACTTTCTAGAAGAAAAAGAAAAAAAAGAACTTGCCTACAAGCATATTTTGGAGTGACAGCTTTTTAGAATACTTAAGGTCTACTTTTTAGAATTTAATTTTAAGCTAATTATTGCTATTTGCACTACGGTCTCTCTTTAAATTAATAATTTTACCTGTTACTAACAGACAAAAACATACACTATTTTCTTCAAGTTGATTCACTGCAAAAGGAAAAATAATAGAAAGAAAGCCAAAACTTAAGGCCATCTATAATACAGAGAATTTTAAAAAAGGATAAAGGGGTAGAAAATTGCAAGTATAGAGGGTATTTGCTATGAACAACAGTAAAGGAAAAAGAAAATCGAACCCATGGACTCACAATGACTACGCAAAACTCAACCACTGAGCTTTAGCCCAAGCTTCTAAAAAAGGAAAATCTTGAGGCCTGTTCTTGTGGCAACTGGAAACATAGGAAAGGAAATACTTAAATAATTTCTAGAAGGGAAAACTTTGCTATGCAAATCTAATTGGAATAAGTTGGCTGGAAAAATATTCCCTATCTGTATAACCAAAGAAATTCCTTTATTCATCTCTGTGCCCTTTAAAACATTTTAAAAAGAGCTTACTACCTAAAATTTGGTTAAAGTAAGTGCCTTATTCTGAACCAAGATCAGTAATGCCAAGTTTTTGGCTAGTGATACTTTTTTCATCTGCCTGTTCACAGAACCTCTAAAAAAGAGTTTCAAATGGAAAGCCTGACAGAATATAGACCACCAATAAAAGATATATAACAGAGCAATTAGTTATTTCATGAGTGGTATAAAAAATCATCTGGCAAAACTGAAAACTTTGCTTGTAGAATGTACAAAATGAAAAACAGTTCTCACACTGTCTTTCACTACAGCAGAAAGTAAAAACATGTAACTTATCCATTCTTGCAACATATAAAATGTTCTATTATATCCATTTTCTCCAAGCAATAACCTCACTTTACAGTCTCTAAAGTTTCCCCACGATATATAAAGAAATGCTGACGAACTTAGAGTGATATATCAAATTAGAGGACCTAGCTGAGCACAGTGGTGCATTTCTGTAATACCAACTTCCAGGAGAATCAAGTTTAAGGCCACCCAACATAAAACAAACAAAAAGTAGAGAATCTTGCAATTATAAAAATCATTTAAAAATCTCTCTCAAAAGATGCACATATGAATTTTTACAAAGACACAATAAACATTATGTGCTAACCTCTCTTTAGGGCAGATCACATCATCTACAAAATTTAACATCTACAAAACAGACCTAAATGTAAAATATACCACTATAAAGCTGGTGAAAGAAACATGAGAGAAGAGCTTCTCATTGTTTCTAGGAGTATGAAAAGATTTCCTAATCCACAGAAAGCAATACCTGTAACAGGAAAACATATGCCTTCATAAATATAAACCAAGAACTATGAAGTTGTATCACTTTTAAGTAAAATTTCTCACTTTTAGGAGAATTAAGAAAAATGAATACAAGCAATACATAAATTCGTATTTCATCCTAAATTCAATTTTTCCTAATGTTTTCATGTACATTAGGAAAATTCAGAAACTATAAATGTATATTATGGACTAGATAATAGAATCATCGATGTTATTGAATTTGCATTTTAGTACTTGTACTGTGATGATGTAAATTTTCTACAGATGTGAAATTACATTAAAATATTTTTGGTTGGTCGTGGGGCTTGAATTCTGGACCTGAGTGCTGTCCCTCAACTCTTCAGCTCAAGGCTAGCACTCTCCCATACACAAGTAAATTTAAAAAAAAAATTCACAATTTCCTTTGAGTCTGTATAGACATTTTTATTAATAATACTTCCCCTGTTGAGAGTTTTTTGAGTATTAGGGAAAGAAGTTGATCAAGATCATCCCATTATAATAGTTCAGTGGAAAATTAAACTAAGCCTACAATTTTGAGAAATGTTGTAGAGAAGGAATAAAGTTTAAGTCCTGAAATCAACACTGTAAAATTCAGGCAATATTAAGTGAGAAAATATTCCTATGTACCAAATAGGTAAATGTTAAAGGATAATTATGGCCTTTCTAAATTCATCAGCTCAATTCTTTTAAAACTATATTGCAATTGTTTTTAACAAAAGTCCCTGTCTAAGAAATATGAAACTAGCAAATATCGTTAATAAGTTTTTTATTGTGAAAATACTGTACAGAGGGGTTACAGTTACATGAGCAAGGTAATGAGTACATTTCTTATCAAGCATTGTTGCCTCCTCCTTTGTTTTTCCCCTACCATCCCTTTCCCTCCCACCTCCTCAACTACACTCCCCCCCCCCCCAATGCCTAAATTGTAAAGTTCGTTTTTGGACATAGCGTCTTGTACATCTCATTGTTGCAATGAGTCAATCTGTATCCCTATTTAAACAATTGTTTTTCCCTTCCCCTCCCCAAATTATAGCAACATCAAATACAGTGAAAACAGGGGTTATACCGTGGGGGAGGAATATACAAAGCAACAAAAAAAAAATCACATGGCATCTTATAAATATGTTACAAACAATAGCAAGAAAGAAAAAACCACTTGTGTCCCTATCTTGAGGTTCATTTCGCTTAATATCTTCTTATCTGACCTTTTCTGCCTGTTCCAGACATATACTAGTTATTGCAAATAAGGGAAACCATGGAAACTAGCAAATATTAAATAACAGAAAAAAAGCTAGTGAAATCAAAGAGGAAAAAGAACCACAAATTAAGGAAGTGATAGACTACATATGCAGGGAAAGTCAAAGTATTTAAGTAAAGAGAAGATTCTGTCCTCTCATAGCTAGCTAGAGTTTGATTTGATAATTTCTCAAATTATTTTCAATCATCAAAAATGCCTAATGTTCTTTATATTAATTTATTTCTAAGCTTCATATTTAGTTTAGCTTACTTCCATTTCTGAACATTCTTAAATATATATAATGAATTAGTGAATTTTAGACAAAATATTTAATAGACTTATAATTTTTTAAAATGAGATATAACAGCATTATTAGCAATGAATTACTTTATTAGGAATGCTGTAATCCCAGCTAGTCAAAAGGCAGAGATCAGAAGGGTAGTAGTTCCAGGCCAATCTTGGGCAAGACCCCCATCTCAAATTCACTGGGAATATACCCACAGGTATAATAAGCCTATCTAAGGTTGACCCCAGGCAAAATGTGTGACACCATATGTAAAGTGTAACTAAAGCAAAAAAGGCTAAGGGTGTGGCTCATGTAGTAGAACAGTAGAGGACCTGCCTAGCAACAGTGAGGCTCTGCATTAAAAACCTACAAAAATTGGCTGTTGGTGGGGGGGAGGGGGGAGGCTGGGAAGGGATGTGAAGGGTAAACCAAAGGAGGAGGCTGCAATGCTTGGTAAGAAATGTACGCATTATCCTGCCCATGTAATTGTAACCCCTCTGTACAGTATGTTCACAAATAAAAAATAAATAAATAAATTTTAAAAAAATTGGCTGTTGGTGGGAGTGTCAGAATAGAAATTAATTCTTGTAATATCAACTACTTTACTTTTGCATTTTCTTAATAATTTACAATCCATAAGAATAGCTTTAAAAGTCATTCTGGTAGCTAAATCAAAACATTTGAATTATCTGAATAAATACACAACACTTGAGTTCACATAGTCAAATCAAATTGTAATTGAGCACCTATCATATATCAGACACTACTAGGACTAAAGGAAGAAAAAAGAATAGGACAAACAATCTCTACCTTCTTGGTACTTGAGGAAAGGCTTTACTAGGAAGGGGAAAGCAGGGCATTAGGAAACTATGTAATAAGGATTTTTATGAAGTCTACAGCATAAAGGATGGAATCAATTTCTTTTGAAATTCTTTTCATCCATAATGAATATGACTATAATGCAACATGCATTCCTAAAAATTACCACACTAAGCAAAATTGAACAGCAAAAAATATGGGGGGAGATGAGCTAGGGAAACAATACTTAGAAATTTTGATAATAACAAATTTTAAAAGACAGGAAGCCAATAGAAACTGCTGTACTATTTTCTATGCCAAATGTTGAAAAACTTATAAATATCAAATTAATGTGGCATTTTAAAAAAAACCTGAAGTTTTCTTGTGGAAGTGGGCATTGAACAGTTACAGCTTTTGGACTTCTGTGGGTGCAATGTATCTGAAATCAGATGAACAGCTTAGCCGACTGTGTATGGCTCAGAATAAAATGTGGAAAACAGGTGGCTGGTAATTATTTAAGATACATGCATTTTCAGTATTCCTACATTACTTAGTTTAGCTGGATACAGTTTTCTTTCTTGTTTAGTGTTTCTCACAAATGACATATAAGCCAACACAAAATTCACATAATACCCAAATTGTTCCCTTCTATCAATTGTCTAATAGAAATCTTTGCTTTCAGAACAAGTATTATGCTACTCCTAATTGTACTTCCTCTTCTCTTCCATACAGAGGGTGTGGTAAAACCAAGAAAAAGATCAACAAGAGACCCTGTCAGTGCAAGGCACACAAAAGCAGGGGGAGGGGAAATAGCTCTTACCCTTAGAAAATTCAGCTCTTTATTTTAAGTGTCTTTTATCTCCCCTTTTCTTCCTTCTCTCTTAATCAGAATAATAAAAACCAAAGGACCAGACTCCTGATCTGAGTTTGTGTTCAGAGTGAACACAAAGGACCAGGCTCCCAAAAACAAAGCAAGAGATTTACTTCCAGTCAGTGCTTCACACATGACAATTTGAGGATAAAATCATTAGAGATCTTACTCAAATGTATATGTGAAATACAGTCCTG